GTTGAAATGACAAAACTGACCTTTCTAATGGGTCACTGCACTCTGCAGTGGAGCAGCTCTTGCTACACTTTTGAACCCACCCACCCCCACTTCACAACCATCAACTGAGCTGTCTTTGTCATGGATGACAAATGGAAAAAATATGGACTGAAACTGTGTTGAATGAATATGATTTATGTAGGGGAAACACACAAACATTGCTGATGTTATCATGCTGACCTTTATTTCAATAAAAGTCAACATGGATCCACTGTTATTAGTTACTTCTTTTATCATTGTTAATGACTGATAAAAATCATGCGGGTGGGGGGGGTGACATGAACTTTTTTAGGCTTCCAAAGGATGACATCCCAGAAAAAGTTTGAGAACCACTGGGCTATAAAATAAAGTTTGACTTGACCTTGGCTTGCAGATATTCTTACAGCTAAAAAATAAAAGATACACACTATAAAACGTCTTTTATGATTTTAGGATGGCAGCCCCAAATGCACCAGATACAAAAATAACAGCGTACAGTAAATCCCTTGAAGCACTAAGAATTTCTTTTTGTATTATGCATAAAAAGCACCATGATAAAAACCTGTTGTAACACAGCTAATCTGTGCTACAATCACAGTGCTAAACTCTTGTATTTGACAATGATTATGGGAGTCAGTTTGTGCGCTGAGTGACATTATGCACTGTGATGGATGGTTAATACTCCTTCACCCTTCCATTTCAGCTGAGCAGAAGGCTTTCATAAAGCCGCAGCGAGGCAGCGACAATGAGAGGAGAGTTTAGAGGAGATTTTGGAGACTGACATGTAGGGCTGAGTCACTGAGAGGGAGAGGGAGAGAGAGAGGGAGACAGAAAAAAAGAGAGAGAGCATTTACACTGTACTGGAATAACAGACTCTGTATTTAGTGGTGTCCCAAACAGAGCCTCCATTTGACTGCACAACCAAAGATGCTGGTGTGTTTGACTGGCTGAAAACTCACTGGATTATCTGTGCAGCTTTCTAATAAACTCAATCCATGGATGTCTTTGAGCTTGTTTATGTGAGTACTCCACTTTCTATTCATTTAACCATTTGGCATTAGTACAGCTAGGTGTTGCACTGTATATAGGTTCCCCACCATACCATCTAAAGCAAATCAATAGACACATTATGGCCCTCTATTAACACACACTTGCAGTGTGTGCGTGCAGGCCTGCGCACACATGCATATAATCCCTCATAAATGGAAATGGTGATTATGCATTACTGACAAGAGTCATTGGTTACGCTAGACAAGACAAGTGTGTGTGTGTGTGTATGTGTGTGGGTCTGTGTCTGTGAGTGTGTACACACTTGGCATTCATTAAGTCGAAACAAAACAAGCGGCAGCAGCTGAGTGTTTGAGTGTGTGTCTTGGCTGAGACAACAGAGAGAACAGATTCAAAGAGAGCCAAAAGTGGGGTTCAGTAAAGAGAGTGAGAAAAAAAGAGAGAACGAAAAGAGGGACAGAGAGAGAGAGAGAGAGAGAGAGAGAGAGAGAGAGAGAGAGAGAGAGAACGCAGAAATTAAGTTAAGAAGTCTGTGTGAGAGGGGCACTCAACTTCTGATCCGCACAACACTCTACCCACTTTTGCAGTGCTTCATAAGTTCGTATTCACTTTTTTAAACTCACACGCACAGATCAACTAGCTGGGTTGCCAGGGCAACGCCATGAAAACCTCTTGTAAGCATTAATTAGATTAACTGAAATGAGGTGCATCCTGATCCTGAGTATTCAATACTTTTTTGTTTTTTTTTACATTCAGAGGCTACAAAGTCTTTAGCATAATAATGTTTGACACAATTTGAAAACTGTGTATACAATTAAGCCACAAAGATTCCCTGATCATTTAAAAAGAAAACCACACTGACATCATGTTTAGATTCTACCCGTGAGAGGGGTAATACAAAACTGAACTCCCAACAAATGATTGAGTTCTTTCATTAATGACTTTAAAAGATTTACGAGATGCTGACTCAGTGAAGAAGCTTCTGTAACAGCAGAATGTTTTATGACTGAACTCAAGACTTCCTTCAAGGGTGACACAAAAATATCTATATCTATTCAACTGCAAACAACTGTGGATGACTGCAAAACTCTTAAATCATATATGCAAAAGATGACCTGCTGTACTGGACAGTGCTTGACACTTCAGTGAGTGGTAAATACACACACAGTCTTTATATCAACCTACATCAAATGTGGGAGATGAACAGAGGTGCTGGAATATAACTAGGTCAGTAAACCATGGCAGGGAAGATGAGATTGTGGAAATTAAGTGTGTGTGTGTGTGTGTGTGTGTGTGTGTGTGTGTGTGTGTGTGTGTGTGTGTGTGTGTGTGTGTGTGTGTGTGTGTGTGTGTGTGTGTGTGTGTAGGGCCAACTCTTGGCAGGGGAACCCCATTTGGAGAATATGGTCATGCTGGTAGGAAAGGGCTACAATGAGCTGGCATGTTTGAGGGGATGTGCTGCCAGTCTCTCCACCAATCTCAGGAGCATGGGAAGGCAAACACAGAGTTGATCTCAAAGACTTCTAAAGGGGGTCGCTTCCTGCCAAAAATCACTTGCACCTGTCCTTCTGTCTCTGCCTCCCTTCCTCTCTCTCACTCTCTCCCTCTCCGCTGCTCCTCCCAGTCTTCCCCCTCTCTGTCTGCGCTCGATCCCTTCATCCTCTCTCCACAGTGTGAAACTTTTTCTGCGCTCGAAATTGGAACCAGCTTACGCCGCTGCTCCTCCCTTCTGTTTTGGCCAGTGCCAGGTGTAAGAGCTCCTGGCATCATCTCAGTTAGTCCTGTTCAGGAAAAGTGCGGGGCACCCATGCCAGGGGCACTGGAGTCATCCCTCACACATAAAGCACACACACAAAATAAGCGTTTTAAGAGGGCATGAGGAACTGCCAAGCTCTGGCTAGGCTTGTGTTTCATTAGCATCAGATAGAGAGCCTTTCTTCACTCAGTCCTGCTGTGTGTTTGTGTATATACAGTATATGTGTGTGTGTCCGTGTGTAGTGGACTAATGAAAACCATGGAGCAGGCTGGCCTCTAACTGAACTCCATTCAACACGCAGCACTACAGACCATTAGAGGAAGAGAGAATAAAAGTGTGAGATTGTCCTTGTTATACTTTATTCCTTCGGTGCTTTTCTTCTTCCTCGGTTGGTATAGAGTGGACTAATGTTTATGCTTCACTATAATATAAGCCACAGGGGTCATGTGGTCTTAATTCAACACTTTCTGTTGTTGTCAGTTAGGCAGTTCCCACTACAATTATCTACTCACTGCACATGTATCTGCATTTATCCAGTCTGTCTTCAAGATCGACTCATACTAGTATTTTTTTTCCAGTACTTGCAGAAAAAAGCACATTTTCTTTATTTCTCTCCGATACACTTTCATCATTATTTCATAGTCAAGGCTATGCGATTTCTACAAATTCAAGGTCTACTTTTGAGTTTCAGGAATGAGCTCCTGATATCGGTTGTTCCAGTGGCCTTCTGTTTCAAAGCCAGGTAGATGAAAGCTTGTAATGACTGAGCTCAGATTTGGAGGTTACAGTATCGAATGACAGCTAGGAGGACTTAGGCAGGTGCTTGACACGCAGTGAATGGAGCCTGTATGGGCCGCTCATTACAGAAGGACATCTGCTGCTGTCCGAGCTCCCAGACTCCGCCCCCTAGCTTTACACTGATGCTTTGATGCCCTGTCAATGTGTGTGTGAGAACAAAACAACGCACACAAGCACACAGGCATGCACCCACGCTCACTAACACACACACACACACACACACACACACCTGCCACCTACAGTAGCCGGCTGCTTGAGAATAAAAATTTTAAAAAAAAAAAGGACAGGTTTATGACTGCTACTGTGTGTGTGTGTGTGTGTGTGTGTGTGTGTGTGTGTGTGTGTGTGTGTGTGTGTGTGTGTGTGGTGTTGAGGCAGAGGAAAAACATAAGCTTTGAGACACACACTAGCCATTTTAATCTGCTCACTCTATAGAGCATAAGTATTTGTAAATCATATTTTCCAGCTTGTGATTTCAAAACCTGCTTCATGCTGAATGCATTAGAAGCGTCACATTTTCCAAAGATCCTTTATTCCATTTTCCAAGAACATTTGTCTCAGTGAAAGCACTGTTCTGTACCAATTTCAGTGAAAATTGCTATTTTTCAGACGAAATCTGTTTCAATAATTTACTGGTGATATAAATGACTTCATAAAAAAATTACGCCGGGTGGAAATTAGCAGCTTATTGTACTCTGCAACAACTTCAATTTTTAAATAATTCATTTAGAAATGCATGGCAACACTCCTTTAAGTGGCTCATTATAAATGACTGAAACAGCATTTGTGTTATAAGATGAGGGGCTGTGCTCATTAAAGGACCTCAGTGCTCTTTAAAGTGTTGTACTATTTACACTTCTTTGTTGACTGTCATATTTTATTACAGAAGTAATGGGCAACTTGCTCCTCTCCAAACATTTTACTACACGCACTTATGAGTGAGGAGGGAAAGAGAGAGAAAGAGAGAGAGGTTACTGGGGATTTTGGTGGAGAGGATACATGGGTGATAAAGAGACTGAATTGCAGAGGGAAAGCGCAAATAAGAGAAAAAGGAAGATAATGCATGTGTGTGTTGAGAACCTTGTACCATGTGCAGCTTGTTAACCGTCAGACTTCAAGACATTCATCACAACCAAGCTGCACCTACAGTTTGTAACATGTGTGCAGAGTTTCTCATCACACATCGCAACCTGACACATTCCCATTTTCCCAGTATCAGCAGCAGCAGTCGCAGCCTTTGGCATGAACTCACATATACACAGACACCACCAGGCTCACGATACTACACCAAAGCTAAGAATCAGAGCTCTAGAAAGCAAACAGGATTAGGAACCTCTCTCTTTCTCACACACACACACACACACACACACACACACACACACACACACACACACACACACACACACACACACAGCCTCACCTCTTCTTTGCAGGACTGTCCTCACAGTACTCGCTGCTCCCATCCAGACCCTGAGAGCGCAAGGACCCATCTTCTTTGTGGCTGCCCTTTGATCCCGAGCCATTCAGCTGCCCATTGGCTAGGGAACCTGAAAACACAAAGCACCAAAAGGGTTAGAGTCTGGCCAACATATATTTTACGGATCACTTGTTGTGAAAGCTTCCATCTCCAGATATCTGGCACGATCCTTTGTCAGTAAGCCATTCCTGGGGCTTAATATTGTTTAGAATATAGCTCAAGTCTTTGGGGAGTAAACAATGTTTTCATCTGACAGTGTTAATAAAGCCTTCTGTTTTTGTCTTTGATTTGATGCAGTGGAGAGGGCTGAAGGCAGAGTAGATGCATTTCTTTTGATAAGATTATAGTGGCTCTGCTTTATCTGACAGAGTAGAGTGCAGAGAATGTAGAAGAAGATAGAAAGACAGAGTGAAGGGGAAGAATACAGAAAGAATACAAATTATTCAAGCATCTAGACTGGTGTGGAGTGTCTGCGCTGAAAACATTCGATGCTAAAATACTGACAGTGTCTAACTAGTCAATGTGACTGAATGACAAACTATTGCAGCATCATGGCGGCTAATTTTGGAGCGACAGGAAAGTTACTTATTCATTCCTCTGTCCCCATTTCCCCTTGTTAAATGCAACTGCTGCTGACGTGCATGATGTGCGCCCTTTGACAAAGAATTTTAAGAAAAACAAGCCCGCGGCGAGCAAGCGAGCGAAGTGAACAGATATTGCCGGACTTGACATTCTTAGTGAGCCCGATTGACAGAGCCCTAATTAAATATTTAGCAAGCAACTCAGACAAACAAAATAAGCCCCCAGACAGATTCTTAAATCAAAAGGAACAACAGGCACCGAGAATTCAAATTAGGTCAAACAGAGGAGTGGAAGTCAATGGTAATTAAGGGAGACAACCAAATTAAATAGATATCACAAGGCTTGATTTCCTCATGGGCAGTTCTTGCAGTTCTTGGAACGTGTCATAAAGGCCTGTAGGATTCAACAATAGAGCGTGAATGAGCGAACATATCGTAGAAATAACTGGGGAAGTTCAAAGCTTTTCAGAGTTACTCAAAGAAAAAGAAAGAAGAAGAAAAATGGAGGAGCTGCCAAGGAGACTGTGACCAACTGGAGACAGGGGTCACATGTTTGAAACTGTGCTGGTGAAATATCACTTTGCAAAACTGAAGATTTATATTGATTCTAATCAAGATTTGACATTGACAGAAGTTCATCACATTTTACCCTTTTTGACCTGTTTTGACAAGTATTCGTGCCTGACTGGACTTTGGTACGGCAGCCTGTTAAATTATTCACATTCACTTCGCAAAAACAAATAACTCACTCAACATTCAAGTCAATGGTTTGTTTAACCAAGAGCGCCGCTGTCATAAATCTTTTCATTCACCAACACCTTCCCACTACTTATTCCACTCTTTCACTGGATGAGGTCCTTGTTGCCTTCCGCAGCACACCCTGTGAAATTCCATTTGGCTGATGCTTTACGGGGAGGTGTCACTCAAAGTGTACCACATATTCCTAATAGTGGGTGTCAAAAGAACAATAAATTAAGATAATAATGACAGTGGAGCACGGGTTAGGATAACTGGCAACTTGATTGATATCCTGTTAGCGAGGACGCTACTGTTAAACAAGCCCAGGCACTGTGTCATCAGAGAGAGATGAGACTGGGAGGGGAGTTGTAAGATCAAATGACAGTGTAGGAGACAGGAGGACGATGAGCAATTGTGGAGCAGGTAAAAGAAGTTTTCAAACATATGATTTAACTGAGATTTATAAATGTGCTTTGGGCTGAGTGAGCACACACACGCACACACACATAGGTCATACATTCTCATTATTGCATAGACACTCAGGCTGTTGGTTTTTCTCACACGCAGGGCAGGTCAGTACCTGAAAGCGGAGGTATAGTCATCAGATACACATGGTTGCGGTCAGAAAGTTAACAAGTGGCGGCGTGATGAGTAAGGCCATTGCACTTTTGGCAATGCTTTATGTTGCCATTGCAGAGCCTCTAAGTCTATGGACCATGGATGAATCACTGCCTTACAATGTCTCCGCTGGCAAGAAAAGGATAACATCAATCAAGAGTTTCACTTTATGTCCCCTTTTAAGAAAGAGTACTATTTGATAAAAATACAAAAGAAATTCATATGGCAATGGAAAATTAATCTGAATTTCTAAAAGATTCCCTTCATTTTATTAAAGATAAATTCCAAAGATTAAGACATTTTCCAGCACTTAATTAATATGTGACCATGAAAAATACGTTTAAAAGAGAAATTAGGGGGAAACTGATTAAAAATGATAATTAGGTCAAATACTGCAAACTGCAGACTGTGAAAAGATTCCAGTTACAACTTCTGGACAATTTCATTTTGTCAGTGAAATTTGCACCAGAGCAAAAAAAAAAAAAAAAAAAAAAAAAAAAAGCGAAGTAGCTCATTAACTTTAATTGTGCTCACAAAATGACTGACGCATGATGTCCCCACAGAACGCAAACAAACAGGCGGAGGCCCATTTCATCACCCCCCCCCCCACTTCAACTCCCTCCCTCCCGCCATTTACTCCCCAATATTCCTCCAAAGAGTTGTCTGACATATGCTGGTTGCACATGAGTGCTCATGTGAGGGGCAGATCAGGGAATCTTGGGAAGGCAGAGGATCAGGGAAGGGGTGAGTGTGGCAGTCAGGCAGTCAGGCAGGGAGCCAAGCGCTGGTGCCTAAACTTAAGGTCCTGGTGCTGGCGGAGGCCTACGACAACGGGCTGGGATGGTGTTGTGACAGAGGTTACAACTTGAGGAGGGGGTGGTGATGAGGCAGCAGAGGGGCCATTCTAGTATGCCATCCCAATAGTTTCTCCTGGGGAAGGGAGGGGGGGGGGGGGGGGGGCTTTCTAATCAGATTTATGCGTGCTTAACTAAGCCCATCGCCTCGCTATGTTCACCTCAAACTCTCGAGAGATCAGAGGTACATAGCGTAACATGGCATATCACAGGGCTGAGAGGAGCCTATTAGTGTGAGCCATAGTAATAAGTGGAACTATAGCAGAGCAGCCATGCCATAGGAAAGACGATCATTGGGGAAGAGTGCCCTTATAGATTCTTGACAACACTAAGGCGTATATTGGCTTAATGTGAAAATGAGTGCGCCGACATACCTAATGGCATGATATAAGGGCTGCGAATATAGCTACGCTAAAATGCTTATTTGTTTTGAGGTTAGCAGATATGTGGTAATAATCTGCCTTTTAACTTCCCTCTCATTGATGAACAAGACTTTAATCTCCCTTTCCGTCTTGTAAACAAGAGCATTAAAAATCTATTTCATGCCCTTTGTTCAAACAATCCCGGATGCCTGTATACAATTAAAATTGGGGGATAATATAAAAAGAAACAATGGGAATGTTTATTTTAGGGAAATTCCCAATAGTATCTATTCCCAGACGTTTTTCAGGGTAGCAGCAGATACTAAAATTGACTGCCTGGCAAGAGGATTTGAAATAGCCCCAAATATATTGCTCCTTCCTTCCTTCCAAAACTGGACCTCACAACACTGCATGACACTTACCACAAGCCAGAACAAAAGCATACAGCACTGTGCAGTTAGAAAACACGGCATCTGCTTTTTTGCAGTTCAAGGCCGTAAATCTAAAGCATCAAAAGGCAAAGATGGGATTTTGTAACGGGCTGAGCCGATGTGGAAAAAAAGCATGCGGGGACAGAATAGATGCAATCTCTTTTACGCACTTGATTCAATACCTAAACTCTTCCTCTTTTGCCTGTGATTCATATATTCATTTTCCTTTCATCCCACCCTCTATCCTATTCCCTGCAGATACTCCTTCATCTGTCCCCCTGTGCCAGGTGATGTGATCACCAGAGAGAGAATAGAGGGCCCACACAGTGTTTGAGCTGCCTCGGCTGCCACTCTGGCCGTGGAAGGAGCAAGCGGCATGGGAAATACAGACAGACAGCACAGTGACAGCCGAGCGAGCGCTGAAGCAAAGGGGACGACATGCATAAAAACCAGTAGGAACGGCAGGTCTTGAGACTGGTAGACAGACGGGAAAAGAAAGAGAGGGGACAGTCAGAGAAATGGGCAAACCCTCTCTTTAGCCCCTCCAGGTTTTTGGCCAGCAGCCAGCTCCTCCATCAATAGCACTCAGGGAAATGGAGAGGGAGGAAAGGAAGGGATGGGAGGGGAGAGGAGAGGAGGAGAGGTACAGACGAGTGTATCGGAGCGAGATGGCGAAGTAAGGAGGCACAGGAAGAAGATGCAGCTTCAATGATTCGGAGAACTGGAGAGGAAGGGTGGGAAAACAGGATAGAGTGAAGGAAAGGGAGGGTGGTGATGGAAAGAGAGGCAGGGAGGGCTTGGGTGACGGATACTGTAGATAGTTAAGACAGACAAGGCAGAGGACAGGAAGGACAAAGCGGAAAAGAGGGAGATGACGAGAAAGAGGGAGACAGAGACGGATGGAGGGAACGGGAGTGAGAAAAGAGCTTCTGTGGGGTGGGGGGTGGGGGGGGGTGGAGATATATAATCGAGGACATTGAGCAGCGGGAGTGAGAGAGGAGACAGGAGCTTGCGGAGAAGGCAGTAACCAGAGTCCTATTGATGTGTAATGAAACCCTGCATCGGGGGGTGGGGGACAACCGGAAGGACAGACGGATGGAGGGAGAGAGAGGTGAGAAAAGGAGAGGAAGAGGAAGATCATGGCTGTGATGGAGAGGGAGAGGGGTGACTGGGTGAATGAGCGGAAGCCGGGACACAGAAGGGCATAATGTCATTTGTTAAATAATGCAGGGAATGAGCAAGAGAGAGGCAGGAAGTGTGATGGACACAGAGATGGACGGCTGCCAACAGCGAGGGGTAAAGTGGCTGGGGAGATGGCATGATTGCTGGTTATGGGCAGGGAGAAGGCTGGGTGGGTGGGAAGATAGACTGACACACACACACACACACACACACAAACACACACACACAATCGGACACACATACAGCTGACTGACAGACTGCCACACCCCCCTCTAAAACAGATAGCCAGTGCTGTCACGCAGTGACGGAGAGAGGAGGAGGATGGGGATGGATGGAGGTATGTGGGGAGGGAAAGATGGAGAGACAGATGCCTGGCGAGGGAGACAAACGCTGCTTTTCCGAGGATTACAGCCAGGTACTGCTCCAACCTCCTTCAGTCACATGATACCTTTTTCCCCAAAATGGTGGACGCTTATCTTGAAATATATTGAAACAGAATTCCTTGCTTAATGATTAGTGGATTAATGAAACAGTTGATTGACAGAAAATTAAGTGGCAACTCTTTTGTTAATTTTTTTTAAAATCACAAATGGAAAAAATTCCCTGAGCAATCTTCTCAAATGTGCTTTTCTCAGTCGAGTATGATTGTAAATATGTTTGGGTTTTAGCCTTAGAGTCAAATATATTTTTATAGTAAAAAATGTTATTAGTAAATACTAGGAAAGTCATCATTTCCCAAGGCGATGCCTTAAAATTGCTCATTGTGTCAATCAACAGTCTAAATGGCAAAGATACTGAATTTATAATGACATCAAAGAGAGCAGCAAACATTTGGCATTTTTGCTTTAACAATTATGCAATTATTAAAATTTTCCTTGATTAATTTTCTGCCAGTGAGTAATTCATGAACTGACTAATTATTTACATATGGCAGTAATCTCTAATCCATCATCTACTCTAACTCTGTCTCTGACATATTTAATGATTATGTACATGCACGATCTGACTCTCCAAAATGGCTGATAGTTTCACAATAACGCGTGTCAGACTGAAAACTCGGGCACATGTCTGGCCCCAACATAAGCCCAGACTCTATAACCCACAGTCCTCTAAAACAGCAGGGGCTGCCCATTCAGGATGTAGCGCACGCTGAGTGTGATCCTCCAAAATGGCTGACAGTTTCACCACATCGTCTGTGCGAGACGGGAAACTGTGCCGCTCGTACAGCCTCCAAAGCCTTGCTAACCCACGGTGCTCTAAAACAGCAGGGCCCGTCTATTCAACCCGGCTCCCTTTTGTGTCAGCGCAGGCTGCTGTCGTTACCCCCGGTGCGACGGGCCGCTGACGCTTTCTAATGAGTCATTTTTATTCAGGCGATAAGGTCAGCTACCCGCGGTGGCTTAAAAGGCCCTGAGGAGCTCTGGAGTGGCAGCCACGAGATGCCAGACAGACACACAGAGATACACTAGCTACACAGAGGGGAGGGGGCACTCAGCACAGAGAGAAGAAATGAAGGTGTGAAAAAATATATAATAAAGAAAAAAAATGGGGGAAAAAAAAAAGGTATAAAAGATAAGCTACATTTCAAAAGAGATTTCCCTCCTGTCTGTCTGCCTGTCTCCCTTTCCGCCTAGCTGGATGACTGGCTGGCTTCCTTGGCTGGGCGTGAACTTTCAGAGGCTCTTTTTTTTTTTTTTTCCTCCTGTTTCCTTTCTTTCGGTGTCTGGGTTGTGTTAATGTCAGCTGAGAATAGCTTCTGAGGCACGTGTGAAGTTCAAATCTCCGCTGTTGGCTGGCTGAGGGCTTTTTATGGGTGGGAGCACCAGTGTCAAACAAAGACATGGTGGCAGCTTGGTTCAAAACAATATGTTCATCCCCCCCTGTGCTCTCACTCTTCTTCTGTTGTTTCGGGTTTACACGGCACAACCGCAAAGATCCCTGAACTGTTGCTGTAGCCGGCTTCCACCTGGATTTGGAATTCTGTCTAACTAAGCAACTTCAAGTATTAATTCATGTCGGGGGTTTCAGTTAGACGGTGTTTTAATGAGTCTGTACTCCACAGTGAGTGTAAATGTCCAAGCTAGGAAAGATTAACAACACTTCTACACATGTTTCTCTTGTGTGTGGCTCTGCGGAAGACCTCATCAGAGTCCCTCTGTTTGAAGCATAAACAACATTTGAAAACAAGTGGGAAATACTTTCAGGCTAAGGGTTCCTTTGAGGATGTGACACTGAACCAAGACTGCAGCTCGCTGACCACTGACCCACAACAAAAGGCAACCAAGAGGCCTTGATCATTTGTTCTTATTGGATTGCCTCCATTTTAAGTAAGAACAGGTCCTCGCTGTCAAAGAAAACTTGCTTAGTTTTCACTCACAAACAGACTAATAAAACTGTCGCTTGCAATTAAAGGAGTGAGGAGCTAGACTGAGACGCTAAACTCTGCAAAGCCAGACAAAACTGGCAACTCTGACATTTACTCCACAAAATGCTAGTGTAGCAAATTCTTTGTTTGTTTTTTTTTTTTGGGAAATGAAGTCTGAGTTTTCAACATGTCAAATTATTGCATTTGAAGTTGGCCTTTAATCATTGCAGGGCAGTTTACAGTACACTCTACGAGATTCATTTCATTTCATTCCACCTCTTTACAAAGTCCTTATTTCGGCTGCATACAGATTTCCAAGGGTAAAATGGACGGCAACAAAAGACAAAACATCTGTCCCCATAAAACAAACACAGGTGGAGACATGATGTCATAGTGGTACAGGTCCCTCACAGAGAGGATGTAGACATGAACTCACCATTGGAGTTTGTGGTTCCATCGCCATCCAGCTGCCGTTTCTGTGCGCTCCTAAACTCCTTTAGAGAGAGGTAAAGCACCTTCCGCATCACCCGCTCCTCCGACCACGGGATCCCATCACTGTCATCCTGTGGAAACATCCAATAGAGAGAGAACAGATTAACAGAGAGAAACAGTGGGAGTTTTTTTTCTTTCTCCCATTTTTTAAAATAATTATTCTGCTGCGTTTCTGTGCTTGTAAAAAAAACAACTTCTGATAAACAATTTCTAAATTTGCACATTATTCTGTGAAAACTCAGCAGACAAGACAATCAACAGCCCATTAATATAGACAGGAGCTTTACAAGTTGGACAGTTGTTTATGCTGAGTGTTTTCCTTTGTTTCTGTTGTCAGACAACAGCATGGCTATAAAAGTGAGGGTCGAGGTCGTGGACAGGAAACGCGGAAAGACAAAACAAAACCTTACAAGCTAAAACTAGAAAAATATTTGTTGCCATCAAGGTAATCCACCACCAATAACTGCAGCTAGCTAGTATTTATTTTAGTATTCTGAGGAGTGTGGAATTTAATGGGTGATTTTTATATTATGTATTTGTCTGCCATAATAACAATAAAATATGGGAAACACAAAATGTTGTGTTCAGTGTGGAAATGCATGAAAAGTTACGACCGCTTTAGTGAAGAGAAACAGACAACCAAAGTTTCAGTATAATGGGGAATCTCCATACATATTGTTCCGGTTGCATCCCTCCCCTTCATTCCTCGCTATATCGTGACATTAGCATGACACAACATTAGCATAACATAGCATTAGCTTGCAGCTAGACATAGGGCATCACATTAGCATAACAATGCTCGAAGGACGGCATCTCGGGCACAATGCAATGATAGGAGAGTGTTATGGTGATGAATAGGTAGGAAGCAAATGAAAAAAGCATCATGGGACTGCGAGTTCATGTGTTGCTAATCTCTCCCAGCGAGACTGAGACAGAAGACGTTATTGTGGAAGAGGTCACCAGAAGTCACACACACATACGCACAACACATCCTTTTCCAAGACACAGCCCCCCCTCCCCAAGTCAGTTTCAATCTGAGCAGCAAACACATGATGGCTAAAATGTTCAGCACATCAAAGCTGCAATTTATTCAAAACACTATACTGCTCATTCTGAGAGTTTTAACAGCTTAATAGAAAAATATTCCACTGCAACAAGCATTGTTAAAAAGGGTCTTTAGAAAGTGTCCAACAGCAATAACCATACTTCTCTCCCACCTCGCTCCCCTACACTCATTGCTCTGGCAGCTGTGTTTGATGTCGAACAACGCTAATGACTAAAGGAAATGAGATTAGGACATGAGCAACAACAAAGAGGTATTAATAAATAATGGAAACTGGAAATAGCTTTTCTCTAGTCATGCCATGAGGCGAGTCGGTTTCAGCTGTAAGGTTGGAGAAAAGAAAACACTTTACGTCTTTGTGCAGAAAGAGCTAATGTATGCTAATGATTTGAATTAAAAACACATTTCTAATCCTGTTGACTCATCGCAGGGAGCGCATTTCCCTCTGTCGAAGTCAAGCGTAATATAAGAGGCTGACGTGAAAAAACAAGCAACCTGTGTGGGAGCGTGTTCTGATCATCCAGTTGACTCAGATCATTTGAGTTGGCTCAGCTAAGTGTCTGGCAGACACTGCAGTGACATCAGCGCCGGCTGGGGGTATTACAAAAAAAAAAAAATATATCTCCACCTCACACAAAAATAATTACATCAAGACGTTTTATCGCTGCTGTAATGACAAGATAACAGTCACAGCATTCCATTAAGAGTGCATAAGTGCTCTCTGAAATAAAAAAAATAAAAAGATCAGATAGCTGTGGTCGGGGTAACACAGAAACTGAGTCTGTGTGTAAGCCTGTATTTCTGTCTGAGTGTGTGAAAGAGAGAAAGTTAATCTCATCCTAATATTATGCGTCCTCCCGCAGCCAGTGAATAAAATGCTACTGAAATGACTGCTGCTCATAAATGTCTTCTCTCGTTTAGTGCGGCCGATCCCCTCTCTAGGATGCTCACAAACAATCACACACGCCCGACAGAGAGGGTGTGATGGATAAAATATGCCTTCTGATCAGAGCAGACAACTTACTGATGATTATAGCAGCATCCCAACAAGGTGTTTCTAAATGTATCCATGTGCGTTTGAAACTTGGAAGTAAAATTGTTGCCATCTTTTACAGGATAAGCTCAGATTTGCTTCATGCAATGACTCATCGTCACTATTTAGTGTCCAATTCATCAGAAAGTCAGAAGTGGTCTCAGTGGATTTACTATAAGCCACAGGTGGGTCATGAAAGACAAAGAACAGGGTATCAGGGGATATGGTTTGCTATCTCCTTGTAACTGAAAACTCCCTGTAATTAAAACAAAATGGAGTGAGTGAGCGACCTCATTCACTCACTTGATTTATTTCACAACTCTTAATATTTTTTGACAATATTGACACAAGTGTGTGTGAGTGTGTGTGTGTGTGTGCGTGTGTGTGTGTGTGTGTATTTTTAGTTTTAGTTTTTGTCTCTTCACCAGATAAAAATAAGCTTTTGCAGAGTGTTGTTTTGAGGGAAGTGGGGGTGGCAGGGGGACAAGATTAAAAGCTGGGTGTCTGCACATGATGGAGCTGATGGCTGACAGCCACATCTGTCTGCATGAAGTGTGCACGCCGACACACACACACATATATATATATATATAGGCAAGTGGACCGTTCAGTGCACCCATGCTTTGCAGCCTCTGACAGAGGTTGATAGGGTGTGTTTTGTGTGTAGCGTGCAGTCCCTCATTACACTGTCACACATGACCATGCGTGCATGCACACACACATGCACACACACACGCGCACACACACACACTTGTGAGACAGGTAGTGCAAGTATTCAATTATGCTATTTTCTCCTGTAGTTAATGTCATCTAATCCATTCATTGTGTGTATGTGCGTGTGTGTGTGTATCTGTGTGTGTGTGTGTGTGTGTGTGTGTGTGTGTGTGTGTGTGTGCATGCGAAAGCCTGCCAGGTAAGCACCAATTACCTAGACAGCTCACTGGCACTCTTTCCCTCGTGGTGTGGCACGAGGCCAAACATACACTGACACACACAGCATTGACAGTATATCCCAGGGTTACAAACACTCTTACATATACAACGTCTATGGTATCCATATCTCTACCTGACACACACACAGCACACAGCTGTACTGAGAGCGAAAACAAGCTCAAATTTTTCTTCCCTCCAACAACTGACCTTAAAGTTCATCTGCATTTCTCTCTCTCTCACTTTCTCTCTGGTTTCCTCCCAGTTATTGGATGCGTGCCACAGATATTTCCTGAGCTGTGTACACATAGCAACAAGGTCTGGGGGGGGGGGGGGAAGAAAAGAAAAAATGCTGACTGACTTTTCATCAGCTGATGGAAAAAACGTGAGCTCCGCTCTATTACAGCTGCTGTACCTTTAAACCTCATCACTAGTTCTTCATACTTCAGAAGATTGTTTAAATGGGTTTTTCACAACCTCTGCTCGACGGCAGGTTAACTATTTGTCTGACCTGAGAAGCAGTTTGCCATCTGTTTTTGGCCAAGGTGTTCCTTTCCTTTCACTGGTTTTTCTGTCACAAAAGCCTGCTCCTTCCTCTGTGTGTGTGCGTGTGTGTGTTTTCCAGGTGTGAAACAGAGAAGTGATGGACAGCAATAGCATGCAAAATCTCTCCGAAGACATTCATACTCTGCCTGCCAGAGGGTAAGTGTAGCATGACAGAGGAGGGGAAACATCTCCTCAAATAAGCAATAGAACCAAATTGTATTGCGTCTCAGTTTCTCATTCAGACATTGCAGTGTGTGTGTGTGTGTGTGTGTGTGTGTGTGTGTGTGTGTGTTTTTGACGCATTGCCAGAGCTCTTTAGAGACAGCTCTTAGACAGAGCAATGCCAGCCGAGCACTACCTGGCACTGACACACACATCTACACCCCGACCAGCTCCCATCAGGCTAGTGGAATCCCACTAATGAGCACAGGGACCTTTTCTGTGTGTGTGTGTGTGTGTGTGTGTGTGTGTGTGTGTGTGTGTGTGTGCACGTCTGTAAGCAAGAAAGGCATCAGGAGCGCTGTGTGTCTACTGTCAGCTGACAACTCCACCCCCACCTCCACTGGAATACACAGGTAAACCGACCTGCAAAGAACACACAAACACACAGACAGACGCCTTTTAAAGCCATCCATAGGCATCATTTCATCTCTCGCTCTGTCTCTCTCTCTCTGTTACACACACACGCTGCAATAAATCCGACGTACAGCACAGCGCTAGGAAGTATAGCCACATTATATCCTTCCCACAGGGCTTCTTAAAACACTTTACCCAATAAAAGTTTTGCAAAAAAAATTTGGAATCTAATGCAAAAAGAAAATATCACTGCAGTTTCTTGTAACATTTCAATTCTTTCCCTGACATTATTCTGAAGCATAACAAGGCATTAATGCTTCAAAATATAATGTCATTCCCAGCATAATGTCATCCCCAGCAACAGTTTCTGTTTATTACTACTGTCCAAATCATGATACAGAATTTTCAAAACTGTTCTAGGAACTGAGCAAATGTTAAAAAGCTTGCTGCACTGTGCCAACGATAAAACGTCACTTGTCTGAGCAGGATTAATTCTATCACTGCGTCTGTATCTGTTCATCTAACTGGATGAAAAGTGGGGCTGGTTCCACCTCATAACCCCCGCCTTGTTCAAACATTCCTCTCTGCAAAGCAGGCAAATCCAATAACCCTGATGGTTGATGAAGAAACAAGTGGATTGCATTGGCTTTATGTAACAGTGGAGGCTGAAAAAAAGATCCTGCATGTAGTGTTAGATACGAAGGAAGAGGGAGATGGAGGGAAGGAGGATGATATAGACAAAAAAAAAAACCCAAAAAAACCAACAACTTTGAGACAAAAAGAAAAAAAAAAACTCGGACCATTCAGCGGAAATGAATGACAGAAATACAAATTTCCTCTGAGACCATGTTGAACTCCCATACTATAGTATCATGCTCAAACAATGGATTCATTTCACACAACATAAACACGCTGAACACCAGTCCTGAGTATAAAACCACGCATGTACTGAAAGCAGTACACCAAAGCTGCACATCACCAGCATTTTGTAAACTGAAAATGTGCAAAAAAAAAAAAAAAAAAACTGCTTCTAACAGTATTCAAAAATAAAAAATAAAAAAAACAGAAAAGAAAAAGAAAACGCACACTGTGCCTTTAAGAACATCACAGAGCCCGTGTGTGTCATTGCTCTGGGTCTGTGTGTAAAAGTGTGACAGAAAGCCAAGCCACACTAACGTCAGCTCTACAGCTCATACGTGCCAGCGCTTACTGTACAAGTGAAACCACAGATTAAACAGCAGATAAAACTTATTTGCTAATTTTTTTTTTTTTGCTTCAGTTTAATTCATCAGTTCATTATCTGATATATTGGTTTGGTGTAGACACAGAGGAAACAATGCTACAATTAGTCAAAATGTTGGTATGCATCCATCACTACTCATGGTATTAACAAACTCATGTAAAGCTCCTGATTTTATGTGGATTCACACACTCCTGCATGTACGTACATTTCTGTCTATGCAAGCGTTCACACTAGCTGCTCTAAAAATAGTGCCGTGCTGCTGCCGACCGTGCGGATGTCATGGCAGAGGAATGTGGGCCACATGCCAGCTGCGATCTGCTCTACAAAACTAGCCCAAAATCTGTTATTCTAACACACATTTCCCCTTGGAGGAGGGATGGAGAGATGGATGGATGGATGGGTGGATGGATGAGTGATTGAGA